GGTGAATATATGTTCATGATTGTAATATCTTCTTGGTCAATTGTTCCTTTGATCAGATTGAAGTGGCCCTTTTTATCTCTTCTGATTAGTTTTAGTTTGAAGGCTATTTTGTCGAATATTAGAATTGAAACACCTGGTTTTTTCCTAGTACTATTCACTTGCTATATATTTTTTTCGTCCTTTCACCTTAAGGTAGTGCCTTTCCTTGAAAGTGAGATTAGTATCTTGTAGACAACAAAAGGATGGGTTTGTTTCTTAATCCTTTCAACTAGTCTGTGTCTTTTGACTGGGGTGTTCAGTCCATTGATATTTAAAGTTATTACTGAAAGATGATTCCAGTTATTTTTATTTCTGTTCACATTCTTAGTGTAGCTGTGCATTTCCACGGGTATACCTTCATTATGTTTCTTTCTGTACCCTCCTTGGGTGTAGTTGTTCCTTTCTTCACCTCTTTTTACTGCTTCAAGAACTCTTTGAAGGGCTGACTTTTGGATATGAATTCTTTCAGCCTATGATGTCATGGGAGATTTTTCTTTCCCCTTTGACTATAATAGACATTTTGGCTGGGTAAAGTAATCTGGGTTGGCATCTGTGGTCATTTAGAATTGGGAATACTTAGGTCCAGGCTCTCTTGGCTTTCATAGTTTGCACTGAAACATCAGGTGTAATTCTGATTCATTTCCCTTTATATCTAGCTTGTTGTTTTTCTTTTGCAGCTTTCAGTATTCTCTATTTGTTCTGTATGTTTAGTGTTTTTACTATGATGTGCCATGGAGTGTGTCTTTTCTGGTCCTGTCTATTTGGTGCTCGATATGCTTCTTGTATTTGTATGGGCATGTCTTTCTTTAATTTTGGGAAATTGTCTTCTACAATCCTGTTGAACATCTGGTACATATCATTATCCTGGGATTCTTCTCCTTCTTGTATGCCTATGATTCATAAGTTTGGTCTTTTTATGGTGTCACACTATTCCTGCATATTCCATTCTTGTGTTTTATTAAATTTTTCATAATCTTTTTTTTTTTTTTTTTTTCAGAGCTGAGGAACGAACCCAGGGCTTTGTGCTTGCCAGGCAAGCACTAGCACTGAGCTAAGTCCCCAACCCCATAATCTTTCCTTGAGTGGTCTAATTCATCCACTTTGTGTTCCAGTCTTGATATTCTGTTTTGCATTTCATTCATCCTGTTGGTGAGGCCTTCTCTGTCATTTCTAATTGGCTTATTGAGTGTTTCAGAGACTTCTTCATTTCAGCCTGATTATTCTTCAATATTTCTATCTCTTTTCTGAATTAATTCAGAAGTTTATCCCTATCATCTTTCAGCTCTATGATTTCTTTCTTTGTGTGTTCTTTAAATTCACATAATTCTTTTATCATGTTTATAATTGTTCTATTGAATTCCATGTCCTGTGTTATCTCTAGTGTGTTCTCATTGTACTCCTCTACAGGTCTACTGGTACTTGGTTGGGATATATTATTTTGTTTTTTCATGTTATTATTTTCTCACTCTGACTTCTACATGACTTTAGTAGTTTCTGATTTTTGTGTGAGACCCACCTTCCTTTGTTGAGTTTAGGTCTACTTCTTTTTTTAACTTTGTGTGCCTTTGTAATTTACTTGTTGGGTATGAAAAGCTGGTTGGTCTAGGCTTCAATTTCTCTCTTTTGATTCTATACTGGAGGAGCCAAATTGATTTTGTCTTCCTCCTCAGGAGTTCCCACAGAGGCCCAAGTCGGGTGAGGATCAGATGCTCTCAGGTTTTCTCCTAAGGACTGTATCCATTCACGAAAGATGCTGGCCCCACAAAGCTGGGTGGCTGGGTTGCCTAGATATGCAAAAGGAAGTGGGAATGGAAAGAGGCCCCAAGGGCTGCCAGGGACTACAGGGAAGAACTGGGTTGGTCTGAATGCAAAGGATCAGGATGCAGTGGGAAGTCTGGGCCAAGAGGTCAAACCAGAGGTCTGGGGTGCCAAGACAAGAAATGGGTCAGTGCCCCTCATAGGAGAAAAGGTGGGGTGGGGAGCTGGGAGAGTGAATGATGCTGGGGGCATCAAGGAAGAGTGGTCACTGCTAACCTTACCAAGGAAAGCTGCTGGTCCCAGGAAGTTACACATTATTAAAATTTTATATATTCATCACAGTTGTTTTCTCTTAAGTGTCTGAGTACTTGACAATGGTCCTGAGAATTTATTCATCATTATATACAAAAATAATGACACAATTTTACATTCTTTTTCTGGATTTCAAATTTGCAAGTTACAGACCCAATATTTTCTTTGCATTGTGAAATTATTGAAATTGTATTTTCAGGAGGAAAAACGTTTTAGTGATGTGACACATGCATTTCCAAGAAGCTTCAATGTCTCTTTTCATAATGAAAGTATTTTCACATAATTACAATAAGTAAAATCATCAGTTCCTACTGTACCTATTGTCTTGTATTTTGTGGTATATTTAACTAGTGAAAACTGCTCTTTCAAATTTATATTAACAATGCAGTATTATTCTGAGGTCATTAACTCTCTTCCACATGTATTTCTAACCAAAAAAAATGCTGAAAATAATAATGTAAATTAATGTAAACCAAAAATAATGAAGCAACAAGCAACCAAATTTTGAATAGCAAATTTTGGCATTGAAATTCTTTAAAAAATAATGTCTATTTTAAAGCTGTATATTAGTAAGAGGCCTACAAGGAATGCTTTTTCTGCTGGCAAGCTGGCTATGCATTCCTAATATTCCTGTGTACAGCAGTTTGAATCACAGGATAAATTTCCACTGACCCGGGACACAGTCACACCCTTTGCTGATCTTAACTCCCATATCTCATCTATACAAATTCCTGCTTAATATCAAAGATGATCAAAATTAAGCATTGAGATGAATAAACATAACAGTTTAAGTGTTCACTCCCCTGGGTATTCAGTCATGTCTAGACAGAGCCCTGGTGTTCCAGATACACTAAAACGAGGCCAAGGACACTTATATTTAATGTATTCATGTTTTACTTATTCCAATGGAGAAGAGAAAAGCCAACAACAGAATGAAATAAATAGCATGGATCTACCTTAAAAATTAGATGTAGTGGTATAACTGGCAGACCAGTGGATAACAAAACCATTTATTTTATGTGTGTGTATGTTTGGGGGGTGGTTTGTTTTCTTTTCTTTTTCTATTTTTTTTTTAAATAAACAGGTTTTTCAGTTAAGGTAATATTCCATGAAAGAATTAGGAATTCCACAAAATAGTTGTTTTTTTTATTATTCTATGAGGCCAATATGATGGCAGCAGTCTAAAGATGATGTAAATATTATATGTCATGCATCTTTATACTTGCAGTACAGTGATGGCATAGAAAAAAGCAATTATACTTAGGAAAAGCAATGAATATGTAATAACTAGCATTTTCTGTTCCCTATAATTTAGTTATTGATTTATTATAATCTTATTATGATTTTAACTGTTTATAGGATACATATATTCACTTGTATACTTTGTTTCTCATTAATCTTTACATCTTAAACAAAATTAGGATAATAAAGTTTAAATGTGCATACATTTTATAAGATCCAAAATTACTCCTTCATTTATGATGATAAGGTTCACATAGCTTTTTTCTCTATGTTTGTTTGTTAGTCTGACCACACGTTTCCTAGTCTATCAACTCTTACTCATTTTGTATCCCCAGCTCACATTTTCAGATAGACTCACACTTTTAAAGTTGAAGGCACTTCAGGAAAACTGGCTCTTGAATGTGGTACACTAAGCTTCAGAACCTCTCACTAGAATTATTCTGTGTGACTTCCTTTCTGGCTCATAAGGCATGCTCAGTCAAACTGTTGAAATAGATTGCACAGTGGACCACAAAGATGCTTGAAAAAAAGAGGTAAAAAGTTAGGAAAATAAAGATCTTTGGTAAAAGTCCAAAGCATTTAAATAGATAGTACCCCATTAGCTGATTTGATTGCCTAAGGATGGAATGTAAGTGCATTATATGTGATCATGTGTGTTGTGTGTGTACATATACTCATCTGTACCCTCCTGCAGGACTACTAGATGCGAAGTATCTGAAAATTCAATTTGTGGCACATTTTATCTCTGGCCATACATGAGTAGAAGACATCTCTGAGGGTACAAAGGACGTTTAACTATAGAAACAATCTCAAGAATTGCTACAGTTTATCTTGAATAAATGTGTATAGGTTTATTTCCTAATTAAATTCTGTTATTTGTATTGTAGATGTTTGTTAATATAAAAATGTTACATGTTTTGAATAGTTCATTGTTATTTAATATAAATTACTTTATTATTGTTCAAAACAGCTTGGGTTTGGAGAAAATAGAACATGTTTAGCTCCAGTTTTACAGCTGAAATTAGTCATGATTTCAGTGTCTTTAAAAAAAAGACTTTTTTTTTTCTTTTTCATATTACCTGTCCATCTTAGTCTTTATTTGATAAAATAAAAGATTTTTTTTTTTTGAGACAGGGTCTCCCTGTATACAAGGTTGGCCTCGAACTCACAGAGATCCGCCAGCTTCTGTCTCCTGAGTGCTGGGATTAAAGGTGTGTACCACCATGCCCAGCTTGGTGATCACATAGTTTATGTGATTTTATTTATTGTTGCTACATAACAGCTTGGGGGAAGAAAATAAAACATGTTTAGATACAATTTTATTACTGTAAATTAATCACAATTTCTGTGCCTTAATAAAAAGCCTTTTTATCTTTTTTACATTACCTATCTTATTCTTATTTGAAAAAATAACAGATTAGAGGTCACATTGCTTGTGTGTTTTTATTATAGTGCTCCATTTATTTATTCAAAATTACCTGTTCTTTTGCAACTCAACACTAGTCTATATAAACAATAACTTGTATAATAATCATAATGGATGTATAATATAATTTCAGTAACATAAGCAGTTACGCATTCTAGTAGCACTACCTCTTTAGGGATACATTAAAATGTATTTCATTCAGTTTTTGTTTCTTCTTTTTCAGTGAATTTATTAGATTCCCGCACAGTCATGGGGGACCTCGGATGGATTGCTTTTCCAAAAAATGGGGTAAGTTCTTATAGAACTTCCTTGAAGGCATAAGCTTCATGCACATCCTTCATGCAAAAGGTTGTACTTGATTGAAAGTCATTGGAAATATATGTTGAGAGAGGAGCAATATTTGTTTCTGGTGTGGAAAAGGGATCTCAGATTAATTCTGACAGGAAAAAATGCATCAATAAAGAAAGGTTTTAATGACTGAATAATAAATGTGTCATTTTCCTGTCACTATTTCTCCACAGATGAGGTTTCCACAGCATCTAGGAAAGTCTTATGCTTTGTCCTTACACTGGTTAAGTTGTACAGGAAATATAAATAACACCTGTGAGCAGTTTTAATGCAAACTGAGATCAATTCATTCTTCATTTCATTTTCACAAAAGTTGAAAACAAATACAGTTAAATTCCATTGAGATTGAAAAAGTCTCATATTTTCAGTTCCAATAGCATTCAAAGGTTTCCTTCCAATTTTTGAATTTCTTCACTTAAAACTTTCACAAGAAGCTGGGCGGGGTGGCTATGCCTTTACCCCAGCATTCAGGAAGAAGAGGCAGGTGGATCTCAGTGGTATAGGTGCCAACCTTCTACATAGAGATTTCCAAGCCAGCTGTGGCTACAGAGAGACACTATTTCATTAAAAAAAAAAAAAGACAAAGAAAATCAAACAAATCAAAACAAAACTTTCATTGTTTCATTGGAATATTTTTGTGTTTAGCATTTCATTAAATTATTCTAGTGGCATTCCTTGGAATGAAACTTAGATGTCATTTATATGACTACATATTTCAAATAACTTATGTTGATAATACATTCATAAAATTAAAAAACATCAAATTATTATCTTCGCATTTAAATGTACAACAGTTCTATCAGAAAACAAAAACCTGAATCTAGCTTTTTGTATCATTGAATTGCACTGAACTATAGACTATATGTTACAATTTTATAATAAAGTAATTTCTATTTTATGAGGTTTTTATTAACCAGTAATTTAAATATTTTAACAATTTATCATTTTCAAGATAATATTATACTCAATGAATTATCCTGATGCAAAACAAATGACATTTTAATCCTTTATTTGAAATTTTTATATAAATAATTTGGATACT